ATGAGCGCATCGTAGTGGGGGTAGTGGACCCCGYGCGCATCGTCCTCTGTGAAGAAGATCGGGTCTTCAGTCCTTAGCCGCTTCGGGGGGTTCTGGTCTTCCCTTCCGACCTCGCGGGCTGATGTTTGAGCTGTAGCCGAGGTGCATCCCGCGATGATCGATCCTCCGACAATCACATTGATGGTCCCCCGAACTGGTCTCTCTTCCGGGGGCTGCCTCTGCGGTTGTTCGGCTTGCCTGCTGTTGGGTTCGAGAGCATCTCTACTTTGCTCTCCCTACCGACCTGCTTTATTATTATTGTTCTGTACAAAATTTCTCAAGTATCTGCGATGGATAAGCTCTTCTATCTCGTCGCAGAGGTTTTTACAACTCTCGRTACTATGACCGTGATCTTTATGGAAGCTACAATACGAGTTCTTATTCCTTACATTAGGGTCCCCTCTTAGCCGGGGTGGCCACTTCACGTACGGGGCGTCCTTGATCGCCATCAGGATCTCCTCTCTGCTGGTGGAGCTCGGAAAGGCTGACCTGGCCTTGCCCCTCGAGCTAGGTCTTTCTTCTTCTTGTTGTCCCCCTGTTCACCCTTTTGGTTGATTTCCTCCTTCGTCCCTATAAACTGGTCCGCGAGCTTGAGGAACTCGGTTGCAGACTTTGGCCGATTTACCACCATGTGCCACTTGAATTCTTTGTGTGTGATGCCTCTCTTGGCCACTATAATCTGAACTGCGGGGTCCAGGTCGGGTATCTGTAAACAAGCATCATTGAACCGCTTGATGTAACTTCGGATAGATTCTCCTTCCCTTTGGACTATGCCGAGGAGGCTCTCCTGGGTCCTCGGGCACCGCTTTCTAGTGACGAAGTGACAAGTGAAGACTTGCACAAACTGCGCCCAACTTCTTATTGATCTGGGTGCGAGGTTCCGGTACCATGTACGAGCCACTCCTTTGAAAGTGGTGGAGAAAGCCACGCACATGCAGGACTCACTGGCCCTTGCTAGGTGCATCTGTGATTGAAAGGCATCTACGTGATCATTCGGGTCGAACGATCCATCATATTTGTCCAGAGGAGGTAGTTTGAAGTCCTTGGGCATTGGGACGACCAAGAGTTTGGGAGATAGAGGGGATGGTACAGAGAGGAGCGGAGTGGATTTTATTTCACCCGAGCTTACCTCTTCCTTACCCTTGAGCTCKGGCAGGTTGTGYGTTGCAGTTCGGCGAGCTCGGCGACGTCTCTGCTACTTTTGTGCGGGCTCCGCATTAGTGCTGTTGGCCTCGGTATTGTCGGGCACAATTTTTGCAGGGAGGGGGGCGGACTGTTGGTGATGGCTGCAGATAGAGGGATCTTGGCTGGAGTCTGTAGCCAAGACCTCAAACTTGTTCTCCACAAGGGGGCCACGAACTCGGAAAGCTGAGGTGATGCGGGCTTGGTAGGCTGGGACCCTCCTGACCTGACTGCGTGCGGCGAGGCAGGGGTGACTGGTCTTTCCTTCCTCCCGTGGGATGAGACTTGACTCTTGAGAGGATTCTGAGTTTGAGAGGTCTCTCCCCGGCGARAAGGATGCCCGCCAGACTTATTGCACGGCCGAATGTCGAGGAGGAAGGGATTGCTGGGTCTGAGGCAGCGGAGGAAACTGCTGCTGATAGTGATGCTGAGAAACTTGGTGTAGCACTTGCTGCTGATATAGTTGGAACTACTGGACTTGTTGCATCTGAGCTTGCATGGCTCGCATGCATTGCATCAGGTCTTCAAGCTGGTTTTGGGCTGTCATGGGGGGAACAAGGGAGGGTTCAGTGAAGGTTGTTCCCACCGTTAAAGACAGTGGAGCATTCATGGGTGCCATTGTCTAAGGCACGTTCAGAATGGAACTCCGTCCGCGGAGAGCGGGACGATGAACTGTCCAATACACACCGCTAGGACCTGGAGTTTCTCCCCGACGGTGCTCATTTCTGCACTGYGTGTTGTGTTGCTGGAAGAAGCCATGAGAATTGAAGTTTGCAAAGTTTTGGTGGAAGGCCTTTTGAAGCATTCCCACAGACGGCGCCAAATGATGTAGCGCAATCCGGTCACTCCTAGCTGGCGGTGGCTTGGCCCTTAGCTGGCGAAGGAGAGCACCTGAAATGGAGAAGACAGTGAAGGATTCTCGGGGAGTTTGCCCGACTGGAACACTCCGACGATCAAGTTAGAACTCTGAGAGAGAATTGCAGAGAATATAAGGAGAGCTAAGAGTGCAGATAGCGCAAAATCAAAATTACCTTTTCTCTCAGGGGGTTGGAGTCCTTTTATAATGGTGTTTTGTCAAATCTGACATAACCACCTCTGATTCTCTGCCGCAGTCGTTACTTGCCAGGGCTGCGCAGGTCACTGTTGCAGGGTACGACTCTGTCATACGGGGGACACCTCACCTCTTAGGCTTGGCATGCACGACACCACCTGACGAGAGACATGGGTGCAGGGCCCCAGGTTTGGTAGGTACGGTTGTCAGGGAAGATCTTCCTGTGATACGCCGAGCTGTCTTCTTTCGAGCTACCTTGCACCGAGCTACCCTATGCCGAGTTGGAGGTGACATACTGAGGTTATTCTACTTGAGACGGCCTACTTAGGCATGTCGGAACAAATGTTAGGAGGCTCCCGAGCTCACCCTGAAGTGCCTTGAGCTCGGGAGATCCCTGTCTTGCAGTACCCTGGCTTGGGATGCCTGTGGAAGAATCTTAGCTCGGGGTGTTCCCTTCTTGAGGAGGAGCTCGGGGATTCCCTTACCATGGAGCAGCTCGGGGGCTCCTTTACTTGGGAGGAGCTCGGGTGCTCCCTTACTTGGAGGAGCTCGGGGGCTCCTTTGCTTGGGAGGAGCTCGGGATAATCAGAGTGTTACCCAGTTCTAAGCTGCCACACTGGATCTTGGCGGACTGGTCACGCTGAGCTGTTACCGGTGCTGAGTCAYGCCCACGTGTCCCCCTAAGATGAGGTCGGGGCAAATCACCCTCCATTAGTAATAGTAGTAGTAGCAGCAACAACAACAGTAGTAGTAGCAGTAGTAATTATGCATGTGAACATTTAATACAAGTATTTAAGTTTATTTTTAGTCATATTGTTACTTTTATTAATTTTCCATTTATCTCTCAACCAWGATATATCTAAAACTTAAGTAATTAATATGAAAAAAAGTTCATACGTGTAACGCACATGCTTAACTAATAGTAAATATAAAGTCAAAACACTTTAAACGCCCAATCATCCGCAAAACACATTTTCTATATGTTTTTTTTTTAAAACAAGATAAATWAAACGTCTATGAATCGAAACACTGGTAAAACTGAATGCTTGCAAAGCACTACGCAGCCAAACACCTACATCATTTCCTAAGGCCGCATTTGTTTGCAGTGTAAATATAAAATTACACGGATGGAGTTTAACAACAAGGGAGAATGACGGTTCAGTCTAGGGTGAGAATTTCTATGCACAAATTATAATTGGAGTTCAAAAATCTGCATTGGCCTGTCCATATTTTTCGGTAACAAGAATCAGATTTCTGAGTGTAAAAAGCAAATCAGCTTTATGCTCATTTTACACTCTTGTGCATTTAGATGATCGATGTTAAAGGTAATGTCACTTAAGCCTTTGATTGCTCAATCTCTCTCCTATTTTCTCCACTCCAACATTGAGCACGATCTTCAAAAGTCTAAGCTACAACTAGGATTAAATGCTTTCGTTTTCATCGTAAAACAAGAACCCTTATTTTTCTATAGTAAATCAGTGGATGAATGATGAATCGGTGTTAAATATTTGTAAGAAATTAAAAGGGAAAACATGATAAAGAACAATAGGTTTGTAGGATTTCTAGACGAACTCTGGTAATAGGACAACCCATGGAAAGTCAATTTCTAGATGAAATCTGGTTTTGGGATCAACATTTGGCTTTGGGATCGAAATCTGCAACATCTGTGCCARGAGCTTCATAGGATTTAGGCTTATAGATTGAGACTGATTTTGGGATCGAAATCTGGAGCTTCTTTGTCGCTACTCCGAATCATGTAGTTGCAAAAGCTTCTCTCTTGTCCAAGACACATGTTCGGGTTTTCACCATCGACCGACTGAAGCCATGATCGTGATCGCAATCGGCTGAGGTCATAGTGGCTGCCACAGTTACAGTTGTTGTTGGAGAAAGAAAGAGAACCACACTCAACAAATGCATGATGGAGAAGCAGTGGCGTCGATGAAGATTGAAACAAATTATTGGGAGAAGTACCTTTACACCGATGGAGAGATGAGAATAGCTTTTTACATCGATTATTGATACAAAAATCTATGGAAAAGCTCATTTACATTGGCATTCATTGTTATTTTATACTCCTATAGCAGAAGTGTAAAATTACATTGAACTGGATTTTATACTGCTTTCAAACACAACCTAGACTCTATTTATTTGCTATGTAAAACCTGTAAACCCTCACCACTGATTTGATTTTGTTGACATTGTTTTATAATGTACATCATTGATAATAAAACATCACCAATGGAGTGAGATTTTGCACATAAGAATTCTTCTATTCACGTCTACCCACGAATAACGTCTCCCTGCATAATGTTCTCCATGTGTAGATGCGATGAACGTGGGCAGGAGTTTGCCTTTCATTGTCATTTCCAATTACCTCGCTTGTTTTCAGCGTTTGCTTCGTTATATTGAAAAGTGAAAACCTGTCTACAAAAGCTACCATACTGCACCATACATCATATCTTACCCGTTGGAATGGTTCACGAACATCCACACCAGCCGACGATTTGACCACCGATATCTGCCGTATTTAATCAAAGGCCCCAGCTTCTTGATCGAGAGGTGATCCTAGGTTCTTAATCAACGGATGAGATCTGATATATGAGTTCAAATATTTGTACTTGAACTTGACGATACAAATATATTTTTAAATTTTAATTGTATGATATACACATACAAGAAAAACACCCATTGATGGACCAAATCTTGTCCGTTGTTTTTCGTAGGAAGATTCATCGAAGCGTCTTACCGAAAGCCGCCGAAGCAGTAATGTATTGATATTCGGATGCTTCTGTGTTAAGGAAGCTGTCTTCTGCTCCTTGAAGTTGAACCTTTTCTTGAGTTTATCAGTGTTTCGCAATTTTGCGATTATTATCTGGACTCTCTTCATTCCGTATTCTGAACAATTCCGTTGAGCTTCTGCGTTTTGGGTTCGTAATATTGATCATCTAGAGCATTGTAATTTTCTAGACTTTTTATTGTTGCTTCACTCCTGAAGTAGTACTGAATACCTTCGAGGAGAACGGTTTTCCTTTTCTTTGATTTTTCCGGTTCAGTTTTAGTTCTTGGTGGTCGTGGAATTGAAGAAATGGGGCAACAACAATCCAAAGAAGAACTGCTTTATCAGCAGGTCAATTATGCAAACATAGAAGGAATCAAAGAGCTTCACAGACAAGGTGCAAACCTTGAGGTATTGAAACCTGTTATTCTCTCTTCAGAGAAAAAATACAAAATCAAAAAAATAAAATTCTTGTTCGTTATTGAGTCGAACTTAGTTTTTATAATCATCTTTTTGGTGCATTGGACCTTGATATTGTTAGATCAATGTTTTGTAATTGATGCATATATTTCACTTTCAATTTGGAATGGATGCAAAAGTTTGTCTTCGCCGTAGAAAGGGGCTAAAAATATATAGCTCAAAGATTGCAGATTGAAAAGAAAAAAAAAATCTGCTCTTTTTTTATGTTAAAACAAGTTAAACATTAAACTCTGCTTGTTACATAGTAAAATTTGGAATAAATTTTTGAGACTGAAATATTTGGAGAGAGAACTCTCGCATTTTTGAGAGCAAGGCCTGCAATGAAGAGGGGTTACTGGTGAAGACAACAAGCACACTTATGTTATGGATTTCGATCCGCAAGGAATTCATTGGATTTTGATAAGTATGTTTATAGATCGATATACATAGGTTATATGCCATTACACAAATTTCCCATTGTACACAGTCTTATTATACAAGGGCTCCACACGTTTTTTAAGATTTTGATACATATAAATTAAATATAATTTACCTTGTTCAAAAAATGGTTCAGGCTGAAATATTTGAGCTATATTTTTTATGATGAGAATTTTGTTTTCCTTTTATTTATGTCAAAAGAAATTACAAGGGATGGAAAACAAAGTTTTCGATGCAAAGGGGGCAGAAATAATAGCTAAAAATTTTCAGTCTGAAAAAATTACTTCCATTCTGTGAAGAAACCAGTGCAGCCTTAGTTGCAAACTGCATAATTTTGTCTTCGTAAGTGTAAACTTCTCAGTCCGTGCAAGGAATAAATTGTGTTTCACCGGATTTTTGTTGCAGTGGGTTGATAGAGAGGGAAAGACTCCTCTGATTGTTGCGTGCATGAACCATGAACTGTTTAATGTTGCTAAAACTTTGATTGAACTGGGTGCCAACGTCAATGCTTACCGTCCAGGTAAGAATCTCAGGTTTCTATCTAGAATTAGGGTTTTATTATGTTAATCAAGTTTGTATAGTATAGGTTGAAGGAACAACTTACAGTACTTTCAAGAATTCTCTTATTTATCAAAGGTTAAAACTTATGCTCATTATTTGATGAAATAGTTCAATTGATCCGTGCCATGTTAACTCTACATGCATAGTGAAGCTTAAAAAAGTGTTTGAATGAGGAAAAAATGTTCATATGTCAACATCAACAAGCTCTCACCATAAATTGTCTTTATAACCAAGAACTCAGGAAGAATAATGTAGATATTCTTTTGCCTTATAAGTGATACTTTACTTGTTCAAGTTGGGCTATCAACGGATTCCAAAGATCCAATACCCAACTTGGCATCCAATATGATTATCCAGGGTTTGGATGTTAGTACTTGCATCTGATTAGTAGTTGAATCAGATGCAGATTTAACTCCATTCAATCCAATTAAAATTCAAGTCTTATTAAATACTACTAGTTTATATATGTAATAAAATTATGTAGAAATAGACATTATATACAATTATACAGAGTTTGTAACTAATAAATGTAATATTTTATATTTATATAAATTGATTATACATGTATAAGTTAAAAAATAAATAATTTTTAAAAACTTTTTAATTTTTCTTCATTTTAAGCACAATAAGTCAGACTCAGATTAAATCCAATCTGATTACATCACTATGTTCAAGAGCCGTCAACATTCTGTAATTCTTTAGCTTCTCTTCATTTATGATCCATTCTTGAAAAGGGTGTTTTTTCTTGGATCCATGTTTTATACTTTTACTCAAGGTTTAAAGTATCAATACACTCCGATATGGCACAAGGGGTGTATCAGTACTTTGAACCATGCACCCACCATTGGTCAGGGGGTAGGTTTTAGGCCTGTCTGCCCCCTGAAATAGGTCAAAAGCTCGAAACACCCATATTTGTGTATTGGTGACCCATCGATACATGATTAAATTTTGAACCTTGGTTTTCTTGTTCTAATATTTCTCCTTTAAACATTTACCAACAGTTATTTAGATTTGCATTTCACATTATTAAAGAGCATAAATTAGGCAGAAGGTTTGTAGGTTCATTCTATGTTAGTAAAGGATAGGAGATTTTTCTCATGAGTAGTATTCTTCCTCAGGCTAATTATTACTGTAATGGAAAACTAAAGAAATATATGAACTTCCTTTTTCTAAAGAAAAGTTCCCACTGACTACAAAGAGACTGAAGCTGCGCATCTGATCCATGCATGATTCACTTCCTTCCCCTTTATGTTAATACTCAACTCAACTCAACAAGGCCTTCTCCCTACTATATGGTGATTGGCTACATTAATTCCTGTTCCGCTATGCTGCTCTGTCCAGAGCCGTATCTATTATTAAATTATTGGCCCTCGTATCACTTTTCACTACATCAACCCATCCCCATCTTGGCCTGCCCCTGGCTCTTCGAGACCATTCAACTTGCAGCAAGTTACTTTTTTTCTTACTGGTGCTGTAGACGGTCTTCTCTTCTCTCTCCTTTTGTACCAATGAATACAAAATTAATAGCGAGATTAAGTGCATGGATATTTAATCAATACTATAATTTAGGGTGGATATTGGAAAACTATATGGCATCTTGTTCTAGTGGAATTTCATGTATATGCATCATGCTTTTAGATCAATACAAACACTTTAACTTTTCAGAAAGAAAAAGGACACTTGATCAATCTCGATTTTTATCTATTGCTCTTTTCTCATTTTCTGTTAATTACTTTAGGATGTCATGCGGGGACACCCTTGCATCATGCGGCAAAAAGAGGCATTGAGCAAACTGTGAAGTTACTTATTTCTTATGGAGGTTTGCCTTGTTGACTTCATATTAATGCTATAGTTATGCAATGGAACTTTAACAATTGGTTCCTTTCAGGAAAAAATTATTTAAATGTTTCTGTTGTTTGCCGTGGTGCTCTCATTGAATGAATTATTCCTGAATACTCCAGCAAATCCTTTAATAATGAATGATGATTGTCAAACCCCACTTGAAGTTGCTAGAGCAAAGGGGTATAGCAAGGTTGTTCGTGCCATTGAGGTACACTTTTTTTTTGAAGCTGTCATTTCGTTTGTGTAATCATTCTTGTGTGTATGTTTCTTAAACTAATGTGTATTCCCTTTGGTTTCTCTTTTAGGGTCATTTATGCTTTTTTGCTGGCTACCTGCGGGAACTTTATGGACCAGGATTTCTTGAAGCGTTAGCCCCTCAATGGGTGTCAAGAAAAATGTGAGTATTGTTTCTAATTATTTTACTCTCTCTATATCTGTCTCTGTCTCCCCATCTCCCTCTTTCCCCTCTCCCGCCAAAAAAAGGGACAAAAAAGTATTTATCTTCCATAGTATGTTCTGACAAGTATCTGATGTTTGTTTGCAGTTGGGCTGTGGTTGTGCCCTGTGTCTCCCGCAATCCTGCTAAGCCTCTCAAATTGGAGCTTGCTATATATTGTGGTCTTCAGGTAATTAACAGCAAAATCAACAACCTTTGGAAGAAGTTTAAGATCATGACCTGAATGGTTTATGCTAAGTTCTATGAAGTTTAAGCTCACTTGTAAAAAGAATTCTTTTATTTTTCTTTTTTAATCAATAATCAAAATGTTATTATAGGGTTTAGGTATTAATTAGCTTAGTTTGCAACAATGGTTTATCTGTTTGTGCCTAGTGTGCTCACAGATAAAGTTCCAGATAAGTGATTTATTTGAAACATTTAATTCCAGAATCCACTCCAAATATTGTAGATAAGATGTGGGTTGGAGTGAAATATTTAACTGATGATATCCTTATTTTCCTTTTTTCATGAAGTGTTTATTTCTACAATATTTGGAAATAATACTAATAATAAGTTCTCATAACTCATTTATTACAGATTATTTGGAATAGGTCAGTCAGTTCTTGCTTTGTGGATATAAAAGAGGTTTAAATACTTTTGCACCTATCTCATCTCTGAAATGGTGGCATTCCTTTTTTTTTTTTTGCCAATTCATGTGTAACTTAATTCAAAGCAGTATTATTTGTCTGTGGGATTCCTGAAGATAACTTCACATTTCCAACTGTGCAAGGTTACTTAGCCTTGTTCAATTGCTAACATCTATGCTTAACAAATTTTCTGTAGGTCCTAGGTTGGGTTGAACACATAATCTTGGATCAAAGATTCTGTGTTTGGTTGGGTGATGCCTTGACACTCAGATTTCTTGTAATTTGCTTTATATTTAATGATTTTTCTTCTTTATTTATATCTTCAAAAAAAGCAAAAAAAAAACCACAGTTGCACCAACCTCTTCTTCAACCCTCCATTAACTCTTTCTACCTTGGCACATCTTTTCTCCAATTCTTGAGCTCTGTTCAGACTTTTGTTGGGGTCGTGATTTTTTTTTTTTGAGAAAATATAACTTTTATTAGAAATAAAGAAAGGAGTACATGAGGTGATGTGCATCATAAAAAAACAGAAAAAGCTCTTTAAGAACTACAAAGGTATGGTCTGATCACTATACAAAGTACCCAGGTGAGCACCAACTTTTGCAAGGCCATCTGCTAATACGTTTAAATCCCTAGGAATCCAAAACAGGTTAGAGTTCATGCTAGAAAGGATATCTCAACTCTCAAGAGCCAGCCTGCAAGGATCACCTTCTCCTAGCCATTTGATTGTATTTGCAGAATCACCTTCAATGGTGAATTGGGCGAAGAACATATACGTATCTTCCATATAAAGGTGTAGTTTTAAGTGCATCAGCACATATTGTGTTTGTTCATGCTGCATGCACATATGCGTCTTTTGCTCTATGAACATTTTGACCATGACCATTGTTAAAGCGGATTCTTCAACAAAATAATTTTTTCCTCTACGTTATTCTTTTTCTTTGGCCATTCGTTATATCTATGTGTTTATGTATTGTGATTAATGGGAAAGAGTTTATTAAAGATAAAAAGGGAGAGGAATACAAAGAGAAATGGACAGGAAGTGAGAGAGAACACAGAATGGTCCATACAAGCATCCCATGCCTAAACCTGGAATCCCACCAAAAAAACAGGGAGAAAACACAGTTGATGGTTAACCCCCCCCCCCGCCCCCTCAAATGAAACAGCAAGTGGCCACCACCTCTGAGAAGCAACAACCAACCCCACCTTCCATTTGACAAACATATCCAATTGGGAGTTATTTAATATTTCTTCCTCTATTTCCTTTTCATTTTCCCTCTTGTGTGTGTTTTAGTCAAAATTCTTCACTGTGGATTAGCTTCAAGTGATATTATATTATGTTCTGGGCAAAGGTTTTCCGTGCTTCAATTAAACTAAAAAGTTTGTTTCCCTAGACAATTCACAAGTTCTCAATGAAAGCTTTTGGCAACTGAACAGGAAGCACAGCCTCGCACAATTGTTCCACTTTGGAAATGCAAAATTGAAGAAGTGAAAATTAACCAACCAGATCCTACAATCATCATTTTTGACAAATCAACTAGTAAGCTCCTTCGCCTGCAGTTCTACCTCTGGATTGTTTTATGTGCTATGATGTATGATTATTTTGAATAACAATTTTATATCTGTATTTTTACGGAGTGCACTACCCCTATATTTTATGTCTCATCTCATGCATTGGTAAGTAAGCTAAGGATTATTTTATTTGTTCTTATTTATTGTTATGTTTTACTTCTTATTTTAATTGCAAGCATACTTCATTGGAGTGTGTCTTGCTTAGAAGTTACTATTTTTCTACTTTGATGCTTGCTGTGTTTATCTAGATGGATGAATACCAAACTATTATAGCAATAACTAAGAAAAATAAAGATGAAAATGATGGAGAAAATATGGTGTCTTGTGTCTGTTAGCAGCCACTATTTCCTAAATATTTGCAGTATAACATATATATAAATGAAAGAGAAGTCTCTACTAAAAGGAGAAATATAGAGTGCTCCCTCTCGATGGACTAAATATATGCTGCAAGTACACATGGTATTATGGTGCACCATAGATCATCATGCTAATACTTTACATGATGAGGAAGTTACTCTTTTGAACATGTCTTGTTACCTGTATATGCTTGACCTTGGAATTGTATTTTCAATGCTCATATGCTGATAATGCTATGCTCTTGAAAATTCCCTGGCATTCCCATTCCATTTACTAGGTGGCCATTGCTTGGTGCAATGGTATATGTTGCAAATATTTCCCAGATTGAGTGTGATAAGGCCCATGACAATCCTGCAGCTCCAGCCCAGCCCCAGGTATCAACAAGAGAAGCAGCTCAAGTGCAAGCCCAGTTGGCCAGCAACAAGGGTACCAGAAGCTACATGCTTCCCCTCACATATGTTTACTCAAGGAGGCCGTGCCAACACTACTTTGTTAGCACAGATGAGTTCAGTTGTAAGAAGTTATAAATAGCTCCCCCCCCACCCCCCCCACTTGAGAGTTCAGTTGAGATTTGAGATTGCCCTCCAACTTTTCTTCTCTTCCCTCCAGAAATGGCGTGGCTAAGATAATGTATCTTGGTTTGGCCCAAAGAACAATTTGACAGATTAGAAATGAGCTGGTTCCCCCTTAGGATGCCGGAGGTACTGTGAAGATTCTCCATGTGGAGAGTCCAATTTGCACTGTAAATGAGGATGTCATCAAAGAACACCAGGAATCTGATGGTACCCAGATCTAATGTCTGCCCAAGTTCATCAAAGAGCTTTTCAATGAGTGGAATGGGAAACCTATCTTTGACTGTGATGTTATTTAGGGCCTTGTCGCCTATAGTCCACACAGAATCTCTAGGTGCCATCCTTCTTTTTTACAAGAAGCACTGGAGATGAGTACGGGCTCTTGATGGGCTGGTTGGAACCCTTGCTAAGCAGCTCTTGCATGATCTTTTCAATCTCAGTTCTTTGATAAGTGGGATACCTATAAGGCCTTACATTGGCTGGTGCAGCCCTTGGACTCTAGGAATATGATGATGATGATGATCATGTGGGCCCGGTTAGGAGGAAGGGTCGTGGGCTCTTGGAACACATCATTATATTCTTGCGAAAGTTGCTGTAACTGGTTGGCCTGTAGTGAATTTTCTGTTACAGTCTCTTCACTGGTTAACTTGTGCTCACCAGCTCATGGACCTAGGTGCATCAATGTACATGTTGACAATATTTGAAGATTGCTTGGGGAGCCTCTTAGGTCTAGGCTGTTGGCTTGAGGCCTTTGATATGGTATTGCCATGGGCCAATTGAAAATTCCATAGTAAGATTGGCCCAATCATGAGTGACTTGGCCAAATTGACATGACCAGTGCATCCCCAAAATGGCATCAGTCCCCGAGAAATTTATAAGGTACTAGTCTACTGTGAATTGGTTCCCTTGTATCTTCAGGCCCATGTCTTCACAAATGCTGTCGCAAGCAATGCGATTGCCATCAACCACATATACAGAGAATGGGGTGGTGGGTTGAATGGTCAGGCCAGTCAATTTGACATCTTAGTAGTAATGAAACTAATGAGCTATCACTGTCAATCAAAATAGTGACCCTCATAGTCTGAGAAGAAGGAAGCCCGATCAGAGCTTGGAATGATATTTCTGGGTTATTCTGTGACATATCCTTCCCCTGGTTTGGTCCGGTCATCAACTTCACTCTAGTTTAGATCTTCACCTCCATCGTCCACTTGCAACAACTATACTTTTTGGGCCTTACGTCGATGGCCTGGAGCAAATTTCTCATCACAATTGTAGTACAGGCCTTTCTCATACTTGGCATGCATTTTTGTCCAAGAGAGTTGTTTGAATGGCATAGAAGCTAGACCAGGTCCTCTTCTGTGGACCAGTTCTAGTTTGATCAGAGGGGTTTTAAGTATAGGTCCTTGTGGTTTGTGCAATTTCTGGAACTGGTTGAGTTGTTCTTCCAGGACCTTGGCCAAACCAGCTGCAGCCAATATTTAGGTGGCTGCAAGGCCTTGATCTCTATTTGCATGCCATCTCTAAGTCCCCAAATGAAGCAACCAGTGAACACATACTCGAGCCAACCATGGACTCTTAAGAGCCAATTTATCAAATTCTTTCCGGTATTCTCTCATTGATCCAGTTTTCTCGAGCCTAGTGAGAGCTTCATCAAAATTTGCAAAACCAAAGGGGAAAATCTAACACATAAAGCCTCAGTGAAGTCTAACCATGTTAATTAAGGGCTGAGATTTTAGCAGCTTTGGAAGGGATTCAAAGGGATAAAGAATTGCACTTAAACAAGCTGCTGCTCATAGAAGGAGACTCTGAGACTGTATTAAACTGGTTAAAAGAAGACAACTCAAGACTCTGGAGCTACAGTAATGGAAAGAGGAAATATAAATGGCTGACCAAGGACATGGAAGTTCGATGCACATGGATAAAGAGAAGTGCTAATTCATTTGCAGATGGATTAGCTAGACAAGGAGTGAATAGGAATTCTATTTTTTGGGCTCAATTGTAATTGTTGTTGTATTTTGGGTAACGGTTGTGGGGAGTTCAGATATTTTAGCTCCCCTTCTATGTATTCATTTTCTTAATCATTTAATGAAATCTCTGTTATTGATAAAAAAAAAGTTGAACCATGTTAATTGGGGGAGGCTCTTTCGATACTATTAAAACCATAAGTTGGCCTCACCATCCAAGTAAATTGAGACAACTGAGACTCCCTATGAAGCAAGAGTCTCTTGAAACTCAAAATATTGTCCAAGTGGAGCTCCAATCCTCCATGAGCCACTGGCACTAGAACCTTCAGACTCATCTTCCTTACAAATGGCTGGGGAGACCTGATCAAACCGAGTCATTACTGCTGAGAGCATCTCCTTGATGTCCTTCAGATCTATAGAGAACTTGTGGTGGTCTACTTCAATCCGATCTACATGCTCATCCACAGAGACAGATCTGGTTGCAGGCATGGTCAGATCGCAGGCTCTGATACCATCTGGTAAGATTGGAGTTCTTATTGATGAATCTGAGGTTCTTCATGGGAGGTCAACCTCTTGTAACAGTTTACACTTAAGGGAGGGAAGGGGGAGAAGAATTGGAGGGAAATCTCAGATCTCAACTGAACTCTCGAGTGGGGAGGGGAGCTATTTATAACTTCTTGCAACTGAATTCACATGTTTGCTAACAAACTAGTGCTGATGCGGCCTCCTTGTGTAATCATATCTGAGAGGAGGCACGTAACTTGTGGCAGATGCTTTAGATGGATTCCTAGAGAGCTAAACAGTGTGGCAGATGTTTTGGCTAAATCAGGGGTGGGAAGAAATTCTTTGTGTACAATGATTCAAGTTTACCCTTCTAAATGTTGGAGAGTTTTTTTTTTTTTTCTGTTTTGGATTGATGTAATCCCCTTGCATCATTTGTATATCCTTCCCACTTTTTTGCTGGCAATGAAAGTAGCCTTTTTCAAAAAAAAGGGTAAACTTGCACCTGAGCTGCTTCTTTTGTGGATACCTGGGGCTGGGCTGGAGACTGTCATGGGCCTTATCAATGTGGTTGAAAAAATTTAGGAATTTAATATTCATTATTAATTTTATTTGCTTTTTCATTACTGAATGCATGAATATCTGGCAAAACAACATTGAACCTCTGTAATTATCTTCTTTGCTAATGGGGATGCATGTTATATGGATTCCATATGATTAACCATTAACTATTTTGTCTTGTTTTTTCCTCTTTTTTTTCTTTAATTGTTTGTTTGTGGCTAAACATTTTATGTCTCACCATTAACCTGTATTTCTCTAAGTCTCACAACAATATTGTTGAAACTTTCTTGAAATTGAATAACTCCCTCTGATATTCTATGTTCATTCTTACATGTCTCTTAGGGCTGTTCATAAAAAGCATCAAAAGACCAAACTGGCCCAACTAGAACCATATAGTTTTTGGGTCGGTTTCGGTTCATCAATATGCATAACCTGATTGGTTGGTTTGGTTTTCGGTTTATAAATTTATAAACTGACAATAACCCAAACCAAACTGATTATGTGTTTGTATATTTAATAGTATGGTATTAATATACATTAGACAAAGTAGACTATTGTCAACAGTCAACAGGTTACATGCATTCCTATTTCGGTGAATGTGTAAAGTTGTATCCATAAATTACTCTCAACTAAAAAAGAATAACATGTCAGATAGAAATAGAAATTCAATTTTCATTCCTATTTCAGTTAAAGACTTAAAAAGTGCAGTTACATAGACTTGCTGTCAATAGGTTACAGACCACCAGGCTGTTAGGCTCATTTTTCAACTCAACAGGCTAGGTTAGTGTTAACAGTCAGTTGGGTTTAAACTGACCAAAATGAGAGAAACTGACTACACATTTTTAAGTCAGTTTTCATGTATAGTCGGTCAATTTCAGTTGGTAGAAATCTCAACCCAAGTGGTTCGGTTCAGTTCAGTTGAGAGAATTGTGTGCAATTGAACCAAACTGACCCGTGTACAGTGATGTCTCTTTAGTATTCTACATTCATACTTACATGGAGTTGTGGACTAGACTTGTTCATGGGCCAGGCTCGGGCGGGCTTTTCCTTTTTATCAACAGAAAATGTGCAGGCCTGAGCCCAAGCCCGGCCCAACCAATGGGCCTAGATCTTGAGCCTGAGCCCAGCCCTTATATAAAGCCCGAAGCCCAACCTGTACACAAAATGTCTTATTTTCAGTGTACTTTTATAAACTAATATTATATTAATTTAGTAATAATTTAATAAATTAATAAACTAATTTATATTTCCTAATAGTATATTAATATTTATTAATAATTTAAGAAACAAATATATATTATATATATTTATTATATAAAACATAAATGCTTTTTTATTATATGTAATAGTATCGGGCCAAGCTTATTTGAGAAAGCCCAAGCCCGAGCCCACGGGCCTGAAGTTTTGTCCAAGCCTGAAAAATAACGGGCCGGGCCGTCGGGCTACCCGGCCCATGAACATGTCTATTGTGGACCAATACATCTGTTCTTAAGTGAACTAATTCTTTTTCTATGGGTTTTACCATGTTTTAATTGTTATCATCTCATAAATGAGTTAGTGACGCCTAAGATGTTTGCGCATTCCTGTAAATCTTAGTTATATACATCTCCCTCTCTCTCTGGTCTTCTATACAATAACATTGAAGACATGAACATTGTCAGAGTAAGCTAAAATTTTTTGGTACATGTTAACAAAATCTAAACATGTGTGTCTCCTATACTCCAAGATGATATTATGCAAAACTTGATCCTCGTATGCATCAATGTGGTGGGGGATGTCTTGGCAAAATGCTTGCAATCAAAAAAAAAAAAGTAAAAGGCAAGTAAAACATGGTAGCATCTTACAGTTGTGTTTACTGGCATAGAACATAATACAATGGTAGTCTACTTTCCTTTAGACAGGGGAATAGTAGAATTCTTGGAAATAAAATGAGTATGGAGGAACTCCTAAGGTGGTGGGAAAATTTGGGCCATGGGTTGCAATCAGCAAAAATTTCAAGACATAGTTGTCAAGGTGACGCCTAGGCGTCATCTAGGTGACTAGGCGCTTTTCAAAGAGTGCCTTGCCCAAACGCCAAGAAAAAATGTATTAGGCGCATGCTTAGGGGACTGAAACACATATATAATATACAATATTTATTAAATAAAAGTAAATATAAAATATATATAATATTTTATTGGTTGGTTTTAGTTTTTATAATAGGACATATTGCATGTTATCATGTTTTTGTTGTGAGGAAAGTAAAAACAAAATAATCTCAAGGGTTTCCCTTTGACAAAAGAATCGAACTGAGGAAGATGAGAGAACAACGGCCCTCCATCGTTCCAATACAGTCCTAAGTCAAGGTGAGTTAATCAATTTCTTCCTTCGTTTTTTTCTCTTTTTCCACTGGTTTAAAACAGTGGTTATGCCCCATTTTTCTCCTCTTCCTTTTTGTTGGACTAAAACCATTCTTCTTTCCTGGTTTGAATCATATTATTGGACTAAAACAGGGGCTCCGCCCCCTTCTTTTGTTCTTAAATTTCTTGCGTGGTTTCAGCTTTTTTTCCCTCATTATTGGTGTCTGAAACAGGGTCTCTGCCTCTTCTTTTATTCTTCATATTCTTCTTTTATTTTAGTTTTTCTTTCACCAGCTTTTCTGGGTCTAGAACAGGGGCTCCACCCCCTTCTTTTGTTCTTAACTTCTAGCATTTTTCAGCTTTTTTTTGTTTTCATCATTGGTGTCTGAAACAGGGGCTCCGCCCCTTCTTTTCTTCATATTTTTTCTTTTATTTTAATATTTTTTCACCAGCTTTTCTGGGTCTAGAACAGGGGCTCCACCCCTTACTTTTCTTCTTCATTTTCTTCTTTTATTTTAGTAATCGTTCTCATCAGGAAAGACTGCAAGAAACACAAGCACAAAAGTAAGTGCAGAATACATTAAAAACAAAAAAACAAAACAAAACTAGTTCAGAAGGGGTAGAAATCCATCGGCTTCTTATTTTTAAATTCCATCGCCTAGGTGAGGGCTAGGTGTCTGCCTGGGTGCCCCATGGTCGCCTAGCCTCGCCTTGGCGCCTTGAAAACTATGTTTCAAGAACTCTTCAGCCTAGGAGTTTCTGGTTGGTCAGAGTCTATTTAGGTCTTGAGGTGTGGGGCATTGTCTGATTTGTATTCTTGCTTTATTGTCCATTGTGCTTGAATGATAGGGCTCACATAATTCACTCTCTGTATGTTATGGGGCTTTGGTTCCCGGTGTGCTGTACAATTCATTCATTTTTTAATAAAATTTTATTTTATCTACATAAGAAAAAACTCCACATTGACTTTGCATCTTTATTTCTTGCACTATTCCTGAATTTTGATTTTATGCACTCACAGAAACACGCTACAAGTTTGTCTCTGCAAATGAGGGTGATAAGCAGCAAATTTTGATGTTTTATAATGCATGCAGGGGATTTTCTGAGGTATGCCATTGGACAAAATTCTTATATGTTTCTTGTAAATCATACATGCAGGTTATCGCTTTTCGAAAAGAAAAAAACCATACATGCAGGTTATGTTATTTTCCTTTAAGCTCTGCACATGAACACCCAAAAATTTGAAGAAAATTGCATATCTTTACAAGGATATGTTGTAAATTGATGGTTAAAAGCTAGTGTTAACTTGAAGAAGTATTCTCTTAATTTACTTATTTTCTTTGTATATTTCCATTGTACAGTGTGTTGGTGTACATGGGTTCTGCTGTTATCTTTTTGATACATATTCAGCATTAATACCAAAAAAAAAAAAAAACTCTCAACTGGAAGTTTGGCCTGGATGTAGGCAAGATATATGTTATAAACCTTGACAATTTAATGGCCAAGCTGAATTGATACAGTCTAAGTTTGTTAACCATGACTCGAGTAGGGTTTTGTTTAGAAGTTTTAAGCTTGATCTACAATTCTACATTTCCACTTGAACTTATACATGGTTACTGTTTAGAAGGCAATGAAGGAGTATTCAAAAATTGGATATATCATTTCCTTAGAAAGGATATGTGATAATTTGAATGGCAAATACTGTCAAGGTAGTGTTTGGGGAAGGGAGAAACCAGGCTGGGGTTTAGTCCTGATTACATATGTTGTGAAGGGGTGGAGAAGAAAAACAGCAGATGAGAAAGATTTGTATTTCATCCCAGCCCCTAACTGGMTTTTATTAGATCTAAATAAAAGTATTGGTACAATTACGAGAATGCCCTTAAGGGGGCAGCAGCTTATAAAAAATAAAAGAAAGTGCTAACTGGCCCATGACAGAAGAGGCCCACTAGCATAAAAATAAAAGACATAAATAGGAAATAAACTAAGGCCCATTGGGCCCAATATATCTACAGGTGGTCACTTTGATTATTGATGCAATTTATTTTGAGGATTTTAACCTTAGGTCCTGGTTTTTCCGGTTCTTTGAAGTGCATGTGGCTTTTAGTTCAGTTAAAGCCATTAAAGGTTGCACTTTTTAGGGGAAGTTGGATAATTCAGAATGTGCCTTTAGTAGATGGTTCATTGGCCATTGGTCTGCAACTGATTCAAGGTGAATGAGATGAGAAAAAGTAGGCTAAGATGGTTTGGTCAACATGCATAGAAGATCATCAACAGCACACATAAGAAGTGATCTATTGCAAGTTGAAGGGGCTACAAAAGCTAAGGTGGTTTTAACCTCCCCCATGGGGATAAATTGGGACTTTGGTTTTAGGTGGGGGATTTAAGGGATAATGAATGTGAATGCCTTGGTTTGTTATTAGCCAAACTGGATAAGGTTTTCTTGGACCAAAATTTGGAAGATAATAGAATTTGTTCTCCCTGCTCTAATGGTATCTTCTCATGCCTCCTTTTTCAACCTCCTTATCCACTCTGATTACTTGGGGGTGAACTTCCCAGTGAAAGAGATTTGGTGCAAGCCTATCCCTCCTAAATTGCAAGCTTTGTGTTGGGAAGTGTTCTTTGGAAAGATCAATACCTGTGATAATCTGCAGAAAAGGAGGCCTAAAATGTGCCTCTCTCATGTGTGTATGTTTTGCAAAGCTAGTGGTCAAATCATTCCTCATTTACTATTCTCTTGTCCTTTTGTGCTTTGTGTTTAGGAGTATTTCTTCTCTCTTTGGTAAGTCTGTTCAGTCCCTGCTTCCTGAGGCAGCCAAAGAAGAGACAGAATAATGTGGAGGGCAGTAAGGGTAGCAACAGTATGGACTATTTGGGAGAAAAGAAACCAAAGAATCTTTAGTGATAAGAGCAGTTCCAAGGAGGAATTGGTAGAAGGCATAAGTTAGAGATGCACATTGGGTAAAAGCTTTAGGAATTTTTTGAATATTCTCAGTTAATGACATTGTAAAAACTTGGAGAGAAGTCGTGCAAACAGGGCCAAGGAAAGGTGTGCGTATTATTTGGCATTCACCATCTGATAACAAATAAATCTGAACTTTGATGGCAGATCCATGGCTAATTCAATGAGGGCAGGCATAGGGGGTGTATTCAGGAACCACTTAGAGTTGGTGCTGGTTTTGTACTCTGGGCCAATTGGAACTGATGATTCAGTTAGAGCTGAACTGATGGCACTGCTGCAAGGATTAAGATTAGCAAAACAGCTTGGACTCCAAGAGTTGGAAGTGGAAGGGGATTCAAAACTGGTCATATCTTGTACAAGAAGAAAAACTTCAGTTCCTTGGATTTACAGGCATGCCTACCTTTCAATGGAACTCAACACCACTTTTAATTGGGTTAGAAGAACTGCAAATGGAATGGCTGATGTACTGGCTAAATAGGGGGTCAATAAACAGCAGTTTTTTTGGGCAAAAGTATAGAGCTATGTATCAGGGCTTTAGTTGGAAACTTGGAATGCTCCAACTTGTAACAAAATTAAATTTATTTTAATGCTTGATGAATTTCTCTTCTGATAAAAAGAAAAGTGACATGTATCAAAGTAGTAAGAATTGATATGGAATTAAACAGAATGGAATGGCAAAACACGATTCTTGTAAGTTGTAACTGATCCCATATAGGTGGGATAAGGCTTGGATGATGATGATGATGATGATGATGATTTTTCGTTATTTTTTATTTTCATATTTATATTGTTTCAGGAAATTGTGCCTTGCACTTCAAAAGAGTGCATGCCTGACCTTATGTCCTGCACCTCAGGTGTTAAAAGGCCCTTACACTGTCTTGTGCAGTTGTGCCTTGCACTTTTAAAACACTGAGGTGGCGTTAAACCTCCTTTGTGATGAGGGTAAAGGGAAAGGCCTTTACTCATGCTATCCCACTATCATAGTGAAATGTTGGGGAGTAGCCACTTTGATCATCCAAAGTGAGTTATGTTTTTTTTAATAGTTTTGTTTTTTTTTTTAATTTAAGATAATTTTTTCTAATATGAAAGAGAACTAGAACATCATTTGGAGACGAGATCAAAATAAATAAAAAATATAAGCCCTTGAAGGAAGCTGCCTCAGATTGCCAATCAACGTAATCCAGCAAGTTGCTGTGGTCATTATGAAGTTACTATGCTGCATAGTTTCTATTTATGACAAGATGTCTTGCTGTATGAGCAATAAAAAAAGCAAAGAAAGGAAAAGATGTCTTGCTGTATGGCAAGCTCACCAGTCACACAGCAGTTTGCAGGGCTATACTGTTTTGCTAGAGAAAACATATCCTCTTCACTTTAATTATTATGGACTTCAACTACTTCTTGGATACACTTAGGTCAGAGAGATCATGGTGTAGTTAGGTCATTGGTGTCTAACCCCTTCCCTTGGCCATGTTTGGTCACTTACCTTTCTTTGGTTAGGATTAATTGGCACATGGAGTTAATTTCTTAATCTTGAGGACCTGCCCCCCTTCTAATTTGATGACTGGTGAACTTGTTTGGAGAGGTTCCTCAAGAAAAAAACTGGATAAGGGATCCCACACCTGGAAGCCCACAATTTTAATCTTAATCTTGAGGACCAGCCCACAATTTTACATGGACTAGGCTTAAATTTTCGGTCCTTGGGCTGAGCCTGGGCCCAAAAGTTCGGGCTTTTAAATTTTTTGGGCTGGGCTCAGGCCTAGCCCTTAGGAAGCCCAAACCCGGCCCAAACTGAGCCTGGCCCGATTATATACATGTATATGTGCATATATGAACACATATTTGCATGCATATGTGCATGTGCATTTTTTTTTAATAAACTATACATATATGCATACATACAAATGTATACACATGTATATCAAGCCCAGCCTAGGCCTGAGTCCAACCCGACTTCATCAAATTTTAGTGTGGGCTGTGCTCTGGCTTTAGGCCCAATTAAGGTTGGGCCTGGGTTGAGCTAAAACCTGTCCCAGCCCACCTGGCTTGCACCCCTACCTGGAATTTTCATGTGTTAGGATTTCCACTGCATATGGTTATTTTTGTCCAATTTTTACTGATACAAGGTGCGTAAAATTGGATCCAAAGTTTACTGGATTTGCCAGGGAAGTTAATGGAAGTTAACTGTTGAGATGTTTGAAATAGAGGACAACATGGCTGAAAAAGAACCAAAAAAGAAAAGACAGACTTGGATGGTCCCCTTTGAGGGCTCTGGTAGCAGTACCATTTTTAGTTATGATACTTAGATTAGAATACTGCCATGGACATGGATACCAGAAATTAGGATACAACTCTCCATTTGATATGCCTATCATGTAAGGATGATCATTTGTAGCATGGCCCTGCCCAGGCTGGAAATTTCTAGGCTTGGACCTAGGCTTTGTGTCCAAGCCTGGGCCCGRACCTGGATTGGTCCACAAATATTTATATATTAATTATATGCATGTGCGTCTGGGTAATTTATATTTTAAAGTCATAGGCCAAGAAACCTGGCCAGGGTCCAGGGTGGGCAGGGCCAGACCTGGGTGGTAAACCCAGCCTGGCCTGGTCCATATGATCATCCCTACCGTCTGTGCTTTAATTGCTTTTATGACTCATTTTTTGAAGTTGAATGCCATCTTTCAATACTTGTATCTTGCCAAGTTTATTTGAAATGTGGTATACAGTTTATGTATACTCGAGTTTTTATAGCATGATTTGTTAAGAGACTCTACTTTTGCATCTTTTAAAGTTAATTCTATAAAGCATAGCTTGTCATGTATTAGACATGCAAAGATATTCAGGTGTCATGGGTTATGGATACAATTTGAATTGGTAGATCCATTTGTTTGATCTATATTTGTTGCACTATTTATGTGGGATTTGTAGAAGTATAATCGCTAGACTATCTTCAAGAGTGGTGGTCCTTATTAAGATTGGTTACAATCCAAAGTATGGATTTTTTTCTAGGTTGGAGGCAACAACGTTCCTATGCTAATACTTTCTTCATGCATGGAGTCTTCTGCATCATTTTTATTTATCAGTTCCATATTTTTGTTTCTTTCACAACACACCACCGTAAAGATTCAACATGGCTAGAAATCTCCGTATAGATTGCAGCTTCTGGTTTGCATCTAATCGTCCTTCTGTCAATGGACTTGGTTCCAACGTGCTTGTAAATAGCATTTTTTGTTGACCTTGCAATTGTATAACATTGATTACACTACTCATTTGATGAAAATTGCCTCCGTTCATTGCAAGGTTATATGAGCATCATTTTCTTCTTTTTTTTTACTTGTTTGACATTGCAGGTACATCCCCCATTATCACCTAATACCCATACTCCAGTTGCTCCAGCAACTGCACCACCCTCTACTGCAGAAGATGTAGAATTAGCTATGGCAATCAACGCTTCCATCCAATCAGCTATACAGGAGAGTGCACCAGTTCTTCCTAATACTCACGTGGGCCCTGAAGTAAGCAGCATAAATGGTTGGGGGACCTCTGGGGATAGTTCTATTTCGGTTCCAACTGGAGAACCTGCACCTCCTTTAAAAGCGAATAACAATGAAAGCAACACGAATTCTGTTGATAATTCCAGTCAAAATGGTCTGTCCCCAACAGGAGGACTTGCACCTCCTTCAAAAGCTAGTAGTGGATGGCCGGATGAACCCGTTAATGACGCATCCAATGGTTGTGCTGTTTCAGAAGCTGAGCCAGGTAGCAATCAAGCGCAGCATAACCAAGCAGTGCATGAGTCTTCTCTAGTAGCTCCATCAATTCCATCAGCTCCACCGATTTCAGAGATAGGTACAGATGATGGCCCCATTCACTATCCTTCAATTGATTGCAGCCCAGTTGATCTATCCATACCAACTGCGGATAGTGGACCATCTACAACAAATGAAGTGAAAGAAGATGGTGGCGCCTCTTCCTCGTGTGTAATATGTTTGGATTCTCCAATTGAGGGAGCTTGTATCCCTTGTGGCCACATGGCAGGCTGCATGTCTTGTCTGAATGAGATCAAAGAAAAGAAATGGGGATGCCCTGTGTGCCGTGCTACCATAGAGCAGGTTGTAAGGCTCTATGCTGTCGTGTGACAGTAAGGGAAGTTGATTATGGTTCGTGAAAATTCTGGATTTCTTCTGTTGATTGTGGGGTAAATGAGAATCTGTTTTGTGGCATTTAAACATTTTTTTTTATTTATCAATCACCACATTCATAGTGTCGGGTGTACAGATCATAGCTATACGGCCTATACCACGAATATGTATAAAAACAAGAGAAACTCTACTCTAGTGATCGCAAGTCTTGTTTGGTTGTCAATATTTCTATGTTATCGAGTGTTCCTGGAATGTTTCTGTTTGATTTAGAGTGTATAATCCTTGTATGAAATTGTGTAGCATATCTTCTCTATCAGTGGAATTGAAATGACATGGCCCATTTTCATGCCACTATCTTGTTAGAATTGTGACTCAGGCATTGGATTTTGTTTCTCAATGATCCTTGGATACTTTGTCATTTGGAACGAAGCAATTATTGATCAATGCCCATACCGCTCAATGTGCAGAGCGGGTAGACCAGCATGTTATTTCCTTTAATGCTAGAATATGCAAAGCTACATAAAATAAGCGATGGGAGTGGGGCTTGATCGAAGATGTTTTGATGATGGGAGGACATTTGATTAATCCTCGTGTTCAAGTGCTTGTTGTACTGCATGTATTATTGGACAAATTGTTCTCATTTAGTCTGAAATATCAAACATCCCATCAATCTTATGCAGAAAACCTGCTTAATCAGATTATTTAATAAACCCTTTTTCTGCTTTGTACATATAATTGATTAGGTGGTCGGTATAATTTGTTTAGTTTATTTGTCTAGTTGAGCAAAAAGAAAAAAAAAATCCATTGATGAAATTCCATATTATTTTTGAGGGATGTCATGCATCAAAGTTGCAATTGTAAATTTACAACCGAATCGAATTCTGTACCTGCCCTGTTTTCAAGTCAACAGTGGAGTTCTCATTGATTTATTCAATGAAAGCACTACAACTGATTCACCACATTCATAGTTTCATACTAATGCAACTGTAGACAGTTGTGACCTTTATTCACTATAAATGGCAATTCATAGGGCTTCTTTTGCCCTCAAAAATCAAAATGGCCTTTGCCAAGGCATGGTGTGTTCTCTCAAACTTTACATCTTTGTGTGTGAAGCATGTTTTTCCCTCTATAGTAACAGTCGTCTAAACAAAGATATCCGAAGCAAGGTTCAAAGTATCGATCGGCCAGTATTGGTCCTTTTTTTCTAATTTTTACTTTTTTTTTATTTTGGTTCAGAGGGGCCGGTTTAAGTCCCGGCTACCCTCTGAACCAGGTCCTGACCCGATACAACCCCTGTAGGGGTGTATCGGGAAGGGCTCGATATGATACGTATCGGCCCGTATGTAATGATTTTTTGAACCTTGATCCGAAGTATTCATGTAAAGAGAGCATGGTGGATTCATTTCCAAGTCTATTCAAACCGGTTGAGAAACTCTAGTGAAGTTGATCTCTTTAGCTCTCTACCCGCTACGTTAAGAGTGCTTCAGAATCTAAGGCCCTGTTTGGTGCATCTTTTCATATGGGCCGTCAGCTGTTTAGAAACTCAATAGTCTGTCTTTTCATCTTTTCTCGTTTGGTTGGGAAAAGATCTAGCCATCAAAAGATGTCACCCCAAAAAGACGCATGAAGCCCAATTTGGGCTATTTTCGGGATGTTTCAAATGGAGCTTTCGACTTTTTTTATCATGCCTTTGCATGGAGAAACGTGATTTAACCAAATGATTTTCAGGTTGCTAAGATCTTGATGCAAAAACTCACATTGTCTTTTGACTGTCAGGTCTACCAAAAGATCTTTCAAAAAAGACTTGCCAAATGGTCCCTAAATTAGGATTCCATTTGGATATTCAAGATTTGCGTTTTTTAATCCCTAAACACTTAAAATATTTCTTGTTTTGCATTTTTATTTATCACAATCCAAAGCTCGAAAGAAAAAGCTTATCCAAACATAGATCCAAATGTATCAATTCTTAGCTTTTAAGTTTTGATTGGCCAAATAAACAGTGTGAAAGAAGAATACTTGCCAAGTGGGTGGGAAATGTTCTGTAAAGCTTAATTTTAACTTTCAAGTAAGCTTAGGTTTCAGATTTCCAGAAATGCTTAGATACTGGGTATTTCTAATAAATTTCTCTGATACCCTTTCAGTCATGCCAATCTGAAGTCTAAGGGTCCGTTTGGTTTGCAGTCGGAATCGGAATTGAAATCGGAATCGTCCATTCCCATAATCTGTTTGGTTCAGACAGGAATAAGAATGGAAATTAAAATCAGCAGGAATGGGATTTTATTCCCAAGGGAGAGACAGGAATGACCATTCCCTTAAATGGGGGAATGCCATTYTAACAGAAATAGAAATGGGATTCCCATTCCGTCCAACCAAATAGTTGAAATCGGAATAACCCATTCTGATTCCGACTCCAGACCTCTATTCTTGTGAATCAAACGGGGCCTAAATTCTTCTTATTCCCTAGGATAATAAGGATATACCTCAGCGATTTTATAATGGATATGGCACTGAAAGTAATGGCAAAACAGGAATCATCTAGCTGACCTAGTTGGGACAAAATTTAGATGAACACGATGATGATGATGATTTGATGTGACCCTGTTGGTTCTTCTAGGCTCCCACGAATTCCCCATGTTACTAATGCTCCCTTTGGTTGCATTTAAAATAAAGGAAAATGAAGGATTTTTAAGGATGACAACTTTTTTCATCCCTGATACTCGACTTCCTGAGCCCATCAGGTAGAATTAATAGGGATCTCCCATCGGGGTTGGGGATGGCTGATGGGAAATGAGGTTCCTGATCCTGATTATAAATATATTAAATGTATATTGTTATATATACTATTTATATATATCAAAATATATTTAAAATATTATTTAAATTTTGTAGATTTGGGTCCCAATGAGAAACCCATCTCGGATGGGGATCAAGGTTGGGGACAGGGATCTGTTTCAAAATTGGGTCAGGGACGGGGAATATGACCCCCACCCTGTTTCCATTCCTAATGATTTTCTATGAATTGTTATTTTATGGTGTTTGGTTATTTATAAATATAAAATGGCTGTGGAAAATGAAAATTTTCGAAAAATTGCAAGTATAGGAAAGTTATATCCCTTCTAATTTTATCTGAGTATTTTCTGACCAGAGATTGGTCTTGGACCTCCCTATTCTTATCCCACAACAATGTCTTTTTTAACCATTCAGGTTTGTTTTCCAAGTTAAGTGAAACACTTACAAAATGGGAACTAGATTTGTTTTCCTATTGAATATAAAAATCATTCTTCTCTCTTTATTTTATGTGCAACCAAATACAGCCTACATCAGAAACACAAATAGTATTATCGTGGAAGTGGAGAGGGGTAACTGAGCTCTTGACAAAGAAAGAAAGGGCGAGGCAGCCCAATGCATGAGGTTCCCATCAATGTTGGATCCGGGGAGGGATAAATATACCTAGCCCTACCTTTGCACATATAGAGAGGTTGTCTCCAAGATTTGAATCTTAATCACCAAAGGTCACAATGGAGCAACCCAACCATTGTGTCAAGGCCCATCCTCAATTAATCTCTCAACTGTCATCAAGAAAATTTATACTCAAATTCAGGGAATTGGGGATTTTAGAGGTGTAAAATGGGTCATGTTGTGGGTATGGGTCAAACTGGGTCAGACTGGTTTTTTTTTGTTTTCTTTTATTTTGATATTTTTTATTTCTTTGCTAAGTAAAACTAAAATATTTATCTTTCATTTGGGAACTGTTTGAAAAAATAAAAAATCTAACAAAGATATGAAAAATATACTTAACCAAATAAGAAGTCAAAGAGACAATAACTCAAAGTAAATAACAAATTGGAAGATAAATAAGAATTTTATTTCATTTAAATTTGAATGATACAAAGCATACAGTGGTTGGATGAATAAAATATGAAATATCAAATATATTAAATAAAATTAAAACAAAATTTCAATAATTTGAAAAATGCTATACAACTGTTGAATATACAAAAAATATTGACTTCATCATTTTCTCCTATTCTTCTTGACTTTGATCATCTATTTAGTTGAAACCACTGTTTTCAAAACCAGACCGGACTAGACAGTCGGACTGGAAAAACCGGTAACCGGTCACCTGACCGGTTCCATTTCCTCCAAAACCGCTTTTTCCCTCAAAACCGTTGATTTTGGTCAGCAAACCGCTGAACCGGCCGGCTAACCATTTGAACCATTTTGACCATTTTCCAATTTTTTATTTTTTTTTAAATTTTTAATTTTTTTGTCAGAATGGGCCAGCCGTTCGGGTCGAACGGTCGGACCGTTCGAACCGGTAACCAGACCCCTGACCGGTTCAATCGCCGGTTCATTTGTAAAAACCATGGTACAACTTCTCTTGTTATCCAACACCCTAGTACCTGCACTAAAGCAAGACTTCGATGAAACTGTAGACATTGGAGGGATTAGTAGATCACGTGCCATGGCGGTGAGAACTGGATAATTTTTTACATGTTCACTCCACCTAGCTAAAATATTAAAATTATTTGCTCCCTCTGAGGTGAAGGAAGAATCGCCTAAAGTAGAAAAAAATGCTTGTAAAAAAAAACCCCAAAAAGTTGATTCATCGGGCGGGCTGAGCGCGGCCCACTATGGGCCCATAGGTCGTACTGGCACGTGGGTCATGGGCCATAGTCGTGCCATGCCATGCCAACCCATAGACTTGGAACCCCAGGCCCAACACGGCCTGGACCATCGTGCTGGGCCTGGCACGGCCCGCATGCTATCGTGTCATATCATGTCGGGTCGCAGGCGGCACAGCCCAACTTACATCTCTAGGATTAATTTCTCTCATGATCTCATGTCTTTTTTTTTCTTTTTCTGCAAACCTGCAGCCCAAACTAACTGCCATGCAGGCCCATGCTAGTTTAAAAATATTCATGCAATAAGAAGAAATGTTAATGATTTTAGAACTGTCTATCGTCCAACTCTGCCGGTGTAAGCTTGTTTTATACCGTCAGTCCTAAGCCCAAGTAAAGGAGGGTTGCATCAAGTTGGCAGTAAGCATTAAAACTTTTGCTGCTCTCATGGTCATAGGTCCTGATTGTATATGTTACACATTATTACAAGTGGAAGGAGCTAGAAGAGTTAGGACAGACTGAAAAGGACATCATAAAAATAACAAAAAATGATTTAAACACCCATAGTTTTAACAATGGATATGGAAGAGAATGAAATGGAAAAATAAGATTCATGTAACCGACCCCATATAATTGAGATAAGGCTTGGATAATAACGATGATGATGGTGATGATGATGATGAAAATGATCCATGATCCACAAGAGTTTTTTAATGTGGTAGGCTGCAA